ACTCAATTTCATGTATTTCAAAGTATAGAGCACACCACCTGATGAGATTAAAATAATCACAGCAGAGCTCTGCATCACCACAGTGACTTACTGAATGACAAAAATCTCCTTGCGTCTAAAGAAAAATGAAGAGTATCTGGAAGCAAAGATTCATTATTTCCTTAGTATACAAACTTATTGCATTATTTTTGATTTGCTACTGCAAAACCATGAGCATTAAATATCTTAAGCTTCATTCTACTTCAGGACATTTCTTGTCCTGAATTCACATATTAGTCAAACATTTTTTTGTCTGAATTCACATATTTTTGCCATTGCTTGCAAAATAATTTGACAGAAGTAATATTAATGACCAGAATCTGTCAAAGAACTGATGGCAATTAAAAGGCTAATGATTTTACCCAGAGTTTCATATATCAGTCAAATATTACGTATTCTTATTGAAGCCACACTGAGTTATAATACTAAAGATTCTCCAGGTTCTGCAAGCTTGAACCTGCATGAAGATGCCATCGCTCTTTTTCCCTATGTCACTAGAGAATAAACAACTCGAAAGAAGTATTTATTTCCCTTAGAATCATTCTCTACATAGGAAATGCTGCTTGAAGAAGGATACCACGAGCCCTCATCTACTTAAGAGAGTTTATATGGATCTCATCTAGTATGCTTCAGAGTTAAATATAGACACACATACACAAATATAGGTGGAGCTTGATCCCTCAGAATCAAACAGACCTGGGCTTGGATCAAGGTTTGTATTTACTAGATGTATGACCTTGGACAGTTACTTAAACTCTCTAAGTATCTTTTGTTTTTCACCTATAAGATAGGGATAAGAGTCTCTACAACAAAGGATTAAATGAGTTAAGTGAGATCATTACACACAGAATTTAACACATAACAATTACTCATAAACATTACCAACTATTATGTTAGCAAACCCTATATGTGAAAGTAGATTGGGGTAATTTTTAAATTTACGCATCTTATAAATAACAATAATAACAATACCAGATGTAGTCTGATTTACTGTTTACAAAGCACATTCATCGGATTCTTTTAAGTGGTAAGATTCCTGAAGAAATAACTAAATGTTTAACAAAAATTTAACATGCAAACTTCTAAAATTATTGAAGGAAAAAAGGTGTTTTTAAATGAGCAATTTGAGTATTTGCTTCATTTTGTTGAGAATTTTAATTCCAGTCATGATTACTGATTTGGGGCCTTGAGTCTTAACACAATACACCATTATATTCACTCACTAAAAATAGACAGGATAATTACTATGGAATGATGCACAGAATTTTGAGGAATAAAATTGAGGCCTAGAAGAAACTGAGTATCTGTTAAGTAAGAATATTAGTAACATTGATTAATGTTACACTACTATTTCTTTTCTGATTTAATCACCATAGGAAACAAAGTGAGGAAAGGAGACAGTGAAAAGTAAACTTTTTTAGCAAATAGAATCTTTAACTTGTGAAAATTCTATTGAATTACCTAATTTTTAAGTGTTATTAAATGTCTTGAGAATGTAGTCTATTACAGTTAAATTAGGCTTTAGAAAAAAATAGCACATTAAAGAACAATATTGGCTGATCTTGACAATATTTTCTCCTAGAAACCTTTCTCACTTCAGTGGGCTATGTGGCTGTGTTTTGAAGGACTCATCAAAAAATGTTGTTTTATTCATTTGTTTATCAAACAATAAGACCAAAGAGTCATTTTCTAACCTGGTGAGTGTGGAATAGATGAGCTCAAAATATTAAATATCCTTCCTAAGAAATATGGCTTCCATGGTCTAAACAAATATAAAATTTGCATAATAAAATGATATAATTATCATTACAAATAAGAATTTAAAACATCCTCTTGGCATATCCCTGAATATTCTCAAAGAGTTATGGAATACTAAGACATTATTTGAGTTTCCTTCTCCTGTGAGAAGAAAAAGCATGAGGTGAGAGAATTCTTCTACAGATCTTTTGTGAAACAAGGTAGAATATAATTAAATAATGAGAGTTTGCACAAACAAAAGCTCTAAGATAAGCGTTAAAATGTAAATAAACATACAGGCAGATAACATAAAATAGTTAAATAATTTCTTAATAAAATCCCAAATCCTTGAAAGAAGTTAGTACCAAAGAATCATACTGACTTTTTTTTGTGAACTAGTTAACTCCCTAAAATTAACATTTTAATTATTGCTTAGATATTCTTCTATTATTCATCTTATGGACACACGAAGACATGGAGCACTGAGGAAAACTGCAAGTCCAATTAGCATGAAGAAAGTGGGCAGGTTGAATGGAAAAGAACATGCCTCAGCGTCAAATAGAAGGAGCACATGTTAACATGGTAGACTTAAAGGAAATTATCTATGTTCTTTCCTGCTAACAACAAAGACGTATGGCATAAGTTACTCTACAATTTGGAAGCTAACTCAAATTCCTTGATTCTTCACTTCCAGGATCTACCATCAGTCTCTGTGACTCTACCGCATCAGACCTATATGGTTTTGGATAGATTTAGATCTTCCAGCACCTAAAAGACAGGTGAAGAGCTTTAGAGCTTCATTGAAGGACAGCACCAATACATATGTGCATATGGTTAACTATGGATCATTAGTAACTATTTTTTCTAGTCTTACTATCTAACGTATTAGTGAATTCTTTAACATGAAAAGCCTTAAATAAATAGCAAAGCTAGAGACAGATCTCTGTAATGAAAAGAGTTAATGCTCAAACCATTTGATGGTCATTTTAATAAATTTCTGTAATAAATCAAGCAAAGCATATAGTATGTGCCATTGGAATTATACACAAGAATGTTTTACAGTTACGAATACTCGAATCATAACAAACAGATGAGAAAGTAAAAAGAACGGAAACTAAAATTTCCAACTTTGCTATTACTAGTGGTAATATATAATAATTTTCTATGTGCAAAAATAAATAAAAATTGCTTGAAATATACTTGAAAGACACTTATACATCCCTTTACAGATAAAGTGATGTAGAAATAAATAAACATGGAAGTAGGAAAATAAATAATGAGGAGTCAAGGTTAAATAAGGCAGTCCTTGAATTATAAATACCCAATAATAAACAATCTATACAGTCCTCGCCCAACTTTTCCATTAGCTGCCATGACAGTCATTGTTAAAAAAAAAAATCTTAGAACTTTTTGATAATGGCTGTGTTCAGAAGTGGAGGAAGGGACAAGCTGTGAAAACACACAGAGCTTAAGGGATCTGCCCTCGCCAGAGCCTGCCTGGACTGGTAACCTGCTTGATAAGAATACTTTCTCCCATACTGACTGGCTGCTTTCACTTTATTATGTTATATCTCCTAAAGATCTGCTTACCAAGGCCTTTTGGGGGATAAAGATTCTTTAAAAGATGTTCGAAAAGTGTTTGGATGCTTGGAAGTTTACATTTTAGGATGAACAGATTCAACTAAATTGTTCAAACACCTAAAATTAATTGAATGGAGAGTTTTAAAGTTTTATCCCTTGGATGCTTTGGGGGTATGAGAAAGACACTGGAAACCCAGGCTTGTGGAAGGGGCACAAAGAATTGAGAAGGATGTTGGGAGAATCCTACTGAAATCCAGTTGGCCCACGGAGGAAAGGAGGAGAAACTTCCTTTTACTCTGCAGCATGACGCTTCCAGGACTGAGACATAGCCTGGTAGTAGTTCCCATGATGCGTTTAAAGTGGGAGGGTTACCCTGGGAATCTATTGATCTTTGATGCACAACATTTCTTATGTAGAAAACTGTGTCCTGGGTAATATACAACCATCTTACACATAAGTCTTCGGACTTATCCCATTTTGGATGGGAACAGCCTGTGTTAAAATATGAACAAAGATAAGTATCTAAATATAAAGAAGTAAGTTTTCATATCCAACAACCCAAATTTCTGTGCAATTTAGTGATAACATCAAATAATTTTCGACTTGTAGCAGCTGGAATGACCCTGCTTATCAGACGACACTTCCCTTATAGCACGTATTAGATATTTTTAGACATGTTAGAAATATTCTCACAATCTATGAGGTAAAGATGAATTTTGGTAAATGACAACTGTAAATGATTAATCCCTCTTTAAGTTCAAGACCTTTGATGCTATATTTTCAGAGTTAATAATACTTTTTTAAAAGTTCAACAGAGCTGTGCAAGTACTTCGTAACAATTATGTGATTATAAGTATCACAAAACATTGGATCTTGTAAGAATCTGAACTATCTTATAAGAATCTAGACAGCCTGATGATAGTTTTTATTAAGAATTCGATGAGTTATCTTAATAAACAGAAGTTTTTCAAATAGAAGTCAACATTTTGAATAATTTATAACAATGTTAAAAGGATTAAAAATTACTTATTTTTTAAAATTAAGTACTTTACTATTTCCAATACAAACTGATGACACTTGTTTAGTACACGTTTTTACTTTTCCTTCTGAAGGCAAATTTTTACTTTGTATTTAATTTTTAAATACTGAGAAATTTTTAAAAATGACGATGTCAATACATGATTTAGACTTTTAATGTAATCTTATGCTAAAATAAGGAGCTATGAGAAAGCCGTTATAAAAATGATATGAACAATATCGAGTAGTTACAAATATACTTAAACTCGTTATTAAAAAGGTGGAAACTTTCAGAAAATCTGATGTAAAAAAAATTTATCACATGAAGTGAACTATTAAACATGGTTATAAAGGTTTAACGTGTAAAAATATTGGTCCAGGAAAAAAAAGGGTTAGGTTGAACATTATAGTCCGAGGTTCACATTGAACCCAAAGTATTAGGAAGATTAAGTGAGTCTCTAAACAGCAGTGAGAAGTGTGTCGAAGATGGAGGTCACCCTTTGAAAGAAGATCTCTGTGCCCTGTGTAAATAGGAGCCCCACCAACACTTCCAACAAGCGTAGGTCAGAATAGGGTCATGGCTGCAGGCCCGCTGGACCACTGTTCGCCCAGAGGAGTGTGCTCACCGCGTTAATCTCTCGTCCTTCAGTTCCAGGTCTGCCACTGTGATGAGCTGATCCAGCTTGAATTTGGTGTCAATAATTTCTGCATCCCGAGGAGAGTATGTACCACCTTCTTTCTGCTTCTGTCGAATTCTAAAATAAGTGTAAGAAAGTCCAAGAAAGGAATAAGTTAGGAAGCATATGAACTTAGGTTCAGTTTTCCTTTTAAGTAAGTATGTCAGTCAAATAATTTCTTTGTTGGGATCACTTCTCTGGATATGCTGCAAATTTATATCTACTCAACTTTTTCCTGTTTTAATTCCATGGAACCTATAGTATATTTCTTAACATGTTGTTTTGTTGAAGTTTCAAATTTTAATGAGTATTAACTGATGAAGGCCTGAGCCATTGGTACATTTAATATAGAGAGCAAATGGAACAGATGCTGTGAACTTTTCCCCCCCTCCCTCTAGTTGTCTCATAGATTTGTCACGAAGGAAATATGCCAAAGTGGAAATGACTCGTTATCACACTGATGCTAAAAGACAACGATTGTTTCTACATATACGAAAATACATAAAAATGTATTTTGAACTGTCTCACTGACTTTTTAAAAAGATTGTAAAGTATATTATCTTTATTTAGAATCAGAAAACAGGCTCAAAAATAAAAGTCACATGAATCTGAGAATCACATAAAAGTCTTCTCATTTTAAGCCCTTTACATGCTTATTTCTCTATGACACAGTATAGTATATTACAAAGCAATATTTAGCTCTTCTATTTTTCACCTTTCAAACATTCATTATTTTATTGAGGATGATATAGAAATTATAAAATATGGTCCTTATCCTCAAGGACATTACAATTTAGTTGAGAAGCAGGATCTAAATGTAAAAAAAGCATAAAAAAAGAGAAAAAAGATTCAAACGACAGCTCACAAGACAGTAACTGATGCATTATAAAATGTTATATAAGTGATTACAACTATTAGTATTTAAAGGCGGTAAAGAAGTGTTCCAGAATGAGGAGGAGGAAGCATGTTTCTGGTTGACGGAACAAAAGCAGAGTTGTAGAAAGCCTAAGGACTGTTCAGGTGACAATAGACCCATGCGGCTGAAGAGAAGTCTGTAGGGAAGTTGTGGGGAATACAAGGGGCCCATTTCCTGCCCACATAAGGAGTTCATCCTGAAGGAAATGAGAAGTCAGGCAAGCTTTTAGAGCAGGGAAACAATATGAATAGGGCCAATGCATGCCCCTGAGGCACAAGGACCATATTGTACACAATATGTCTTGAAAAGTGCCTAGAATAATGACCTCTCACCATCTTCTGGCTCTATCTGGGAACAGTATGTGGTATAAGAAAAACATCTTTTTCAAGAGCCTTTCAAACTATCCGTCAAAATGATGATTTAAGAGATTCCAGATGAAACAGGACATGCACTGCATACAAGTTACAGAACAACATCCTTCAGATAAAATAAAAACAGAGCCCATTGAGCTACTTAGGAAATTAGTGGAATGGTTATTTTTACAAATGTAAGATCTCTTTAACTGGGCAATATACCTTATGAAACTAGAGTTTAGGATCATAAGTAAGATTTCCCCCGAGGTCCTGTAAACAACAAGTGAATTAAGAGGCCTATACTGAGATTTTGAAAGGATGCTTGGAAAATGTAGCACAGACATGTTGGTAAAGTCAGCATGTGAAAGGGTCTCACCATATAATGAAGTTGGATATCTTTAGAGTGCTGACCTACTGTAAAAATTATCACTAGTGTATAAACTTTAAAATTTAGACCTGATTGAAATATTTAAATTAAACCTATCAGAGTTATAAATTATACAAAACAATGTAGAAAGCCTGGTGCCTTCTGCTTTTGTGTTATCACTTTCCTGTCTCTCAGCTCTAAATCCACCCTTCTTTGCCCTGCTTTGTGATACTGTAGCTGCACTCTATAACATTTGTCCTTCATCACTTTCATCAATAGAGGACACTAGAGTGACCCTGGAAGACAATAGGGACAGGGAGACACTTCCCTGTGTGTTCCAGTGCTGCATTATTATTATTCATTGTGGAAGCCCAGCAGCCCACCTGGATGAGCTCTAGCTGCTTCTTAAGTGTATGGTCTCCCCATGGGTGAATGACTCCAGGTAACTTCAGCCTACCCACACCATCCAGCAAGAGTGGGCTGCTTTATAGACCAATTCCAGCCTGCCAACCCTCCAGGAATAGTGGGTAGCTTCTACTGAACAGCTCCAGCCCCTTCCCTCTGTCATATTTCTTTGCCAACTGATAGGTGATGGGCTGCATGTGCTCATGGTAGCCATTCCATGTCAACCTTGGGGGTGTTACTTCTTCTAGTTCTTAGTTCCTTTACTGTACTCTCTCCTTCAGCCTGGAGTAAGCAGCTGCTTTGTTGCACTTGCTACTTCTGGGCTCCTTAGTGTTCTCTTTTTACCCCCTTTATTGGTTAATTATTCTCTAGTTAATAATTCTTCTTATTAAATGTTTCCCATTCAAGTAACTGTTGTGGCTTCTGTCTCCTGATTAGACTGTGACTGAATAATGCCCATAAAGCATCCTAGGAGTGTAAGTACAAATAAATCTTACCTTGCAAATGCAAAGATAGCTGTTCCAAGAAGAATTATTGAAAGGATACACAAAGTGACTGAAAGAATAATCTCTACAGTTCTTTCTGAAAGTCCTTCACCTGAAGAGGAAGAAGTATAACATCACGATTAAATATTATTATGGAATACTATCTTGGGTGTCAAAACACAGAAAAAATATTTTCTTGGCATATTTCTCAAGAATGCTAATAAAATGTACAAATTGTCTTGTTCCTCTTCTTTTCCTAGATCTTCTAACTTTGGGCCTGAGTTCTTGTTCCTCTTCTGTTTTCTGTCTAAACTCACTCCCTTGGTGAGCCCATCCAGCCTCATGGTTTTAATTTTCACCCACATGATGACGACTACATAATTGCCTACTAGAGTTGTAATTAAAATTTCAAAATCAACATGTCCAAAGATAAACTCCTCTACTTCCCTCCTTGCAACTGCATCCTTCCACCTGTTAGTTGATGGCAACATCACTATTCCAGTTGCTTAGGCCCAAAACCTTGGAGTCACACTTGACTCTCTCTTTCTCTCATAGAACACATCCAAAATCTTTAAGGAAATTCTGTTGGCTTCATTTCAAAGTATATACACTTTTCACTAACAGAAACTAGGAAAACTTGGAGAGACAGTAATTCCAAAGTGGGAGTAGGGCACAAAAGGAATTCAGACATCCAATAGGGCAAAAAAGCTAAGAAGCTATCAAATTCTAATGGTATGAAAAGAACAGATCATCTTGAAGAGGTTCCTACTGGCCAAAGAGAGAACAATTTAAACTTCATAATGAATAAAAACTGAAATTGATTGAAATAAAGTTGATTATAATAATCCATGGGTTTTAACACTATTCAATGAAAGAAATAAAAAATAAACAAAAACATTAATTTGTAAAGATTGGTTATGGCTAGACTGTAACTTTCCTCACTCTAAAAATTTGTAATTAAAGGGAGAAAATTAAGCATTTTTTTCTGGGTTTCTCATATGAACTGCATGGTATGGGTTAAAAAAAATAGTCCTAGTTAAGGAGATTAAGCCCTTAATTAGGGAAGAATTCTGTTTAATAAATGTGGAAGGAGTAATAAAATTAGAAATTAATTTTTCATTCTTAATGAAATAATTGGTTCAGGTAACAATTCTAAATGTGTCTTTTATTGTTATTGTTGTTGCTGAGGAAGATTAGCCCTGAGCCAACATCTGTGCCAATCCTCCTCCACTTTATATGTGGGTTGCCACCACAGCATGGCTGATGAGTGGTGTAGGTCTGTGCCCGGGCCGCCAAAGCAGAGTGCACCAAACTTAACCACTGTGCCATGGGGCCAGCCCCTCATAAATGCGTCTTTAATGATTAGGAGACATGTTGATCAGAAATTGGATATTTGCAGGATGCCAAAATATGACCCCACAGATTATTTGCTGGTTATACCAAGGGAAAAAACAACTTTCCAATGAAGGATCATGCTGCTACCATGAAATTTACTGATAATTTTAACATCATTGAAAATGTGACAACCAGGTATTTTACACCTCCTGATGCGAGGTACTTTAATCTAGGCCCCAGCACCCATAAAGTATCACTGCCCAAAATGTCGATTGTGACTATTAAAACCTTTAGATTCTAGTTGTAATTTATAGGAAAGAAGGGCGAGGAGGAAGAAATAAAATCACATTAAGAGAAAGCAATCAGACAAATCCAGAATGTGAGACTTCTGAAGGATGCCTCATCCAGTTGCATCAATGAGTCTATGGCCTCGGCAAAGAAGAGGAAGAAGAGTATTTCTAGATTAAAAGAGATTAAGAGACATAACAATCAAAGATGATGTGTGAACCTCTTATTTGGATCCTGAGTCAAACAAACTATAAAGAAAAAAACAGAGGGTGATTTTAAAATAGTATGTGGTATTATATAATATCAAGAATTTATCATTAATTTTGATTAACTGTGACAATATAATGAAAATGTACTTAGAGAAAGAAACTAAAGTATTTTGGGGTGGAATATAATGCTTTCTGTGATTTATTTTAAAATACTTCAGAAATAAAAGAACAAATTTATAAATAAAATAAATGTGGCAAAATGTTAAAAATTTAATTAGTGGGTATTTGGGGGTTCAGTACGCTACTCAAACCTTCTGTGTCTGCTCTGTTCACCTCTCACACCTCTGCTGCCAGCATGCTGATCCAGGCCACTATTCTGTTTTGCATGAATTATTGTATGGACACCTGGTCCAATGGAATCCCTGTATCCACCCTTATCCCCTTTCTATCTATTCTCAACATAGCAGCAAGAGTAATCCTTTTAAAACATTACCTCTCTGCTTAAAATTCTCATCTCTCACAGAGAAAAGCTGAAATCCTTCCAATGGCCTATGAGATCTGGTCTTCGTAATCCTTTGGTTTCCTGTTACCTCTTTGGCTCCCTCCGCCCCCCTCCCAGTCTCTGTCTTGCTGACTCCTCTGGAGCCAGCCTGACATCCTTGTTCCTGGAACACACCAGGTCACTCTTGACACAGGGCTGTTGCATTGGCTTCTTGCTCTGCCTGTAAAAGGTATTTCCTTTGTATATCTGCCTGGGTAGCCATTTCATTACCTGCAACAGGTGCCATTTCATTACATCCGTCGAGGCCTATGCTGACCACCTCTAACAGATTGAGGGTATGTATCATTCCAAAATTCCTGTGTTGAAGCTCTAACTCCCAGTGTGGCTGTGTTTGGAGTAAGGAGTTAATTAACATTAAATGAGATCATAGGGCTGGGTCCTAATCTGATAGAATTAACATCCTTATAAGAGGAGACCCTCAAAAGCTAGCTCCTTTCCACTCACACAGGCTGAGGAAAGGCATATGAGGACACAGCAAGAAGGAAGCCCTCTGAAAGCCGGGAAGAGAGCCCTCGGCAGATCCTAAATTGACTGAAACCTTGTTCTTCAACTTCTAGCCTCCAGTACTGTGAGAAGAAAAATTTCTGCTGTTTAAGCCCCCCAGTCTACAGTATCTTGTTATGGCAGCCCGAGCAGACTAAGATATGACCTATTTGATTGAAAATGACAACTCCCTTACTTCCTGCCTCCCCCTTCTACATCTTCTGCAAGCTGTTCTACTTTTTCTTGTCTCCATAGCCGTTATCACCTTTTTTTTCCCACACTATATATATACATTTTATATATATACAATACACACACACATATGTAATGGATAAGAGTATATTGGGCCAGTTTGAGCCAAAAAAGAAAGCAAAGTGACAATACTACCATTAGAAAACATAAAATGCAGGTAAAATGCATTAAAGGGAAATAATTGATTTCAGTTTGATAATACTTTTCAAACTCAATAAAGATATAATTGCACGAAACTTTATCCATCAGATGGAATGTCTTCACAATATATAAAGCAAAAACTCTTGTAAGTGTAGACAACATTAACAGAAATATGGATGTCGATGATTTTAACACACCACATTTGGTCAAGTAGACATAACATGCATAATTGGATAATAAAAGAAATAAGGTTGATTTACTAGATACGTCAAACTTTTTAACCAACAGAATATATATTCTTTTTTTTATTAAATTTTTATTTTTTTCGGATGTACATCATATTTCAAGTTCTGTATACATTACATCATGTTCACCACCCGAACACACTAAGTAATGACCTTTTAACACATAATTCATTTATTTATTATCATTATTTATTGTCTGTCCAGAACGTAAGCTCCCTGAGGACAGAAGTCTTGGTTTTATTCAAAACTGTATTCCAAGTTCCGAGAATAGTACCAGGTCCATAGAAAATGCTCAATAAATATTTGCTAAATTTACTAATGAATAAATATATTGGTTTTGAAATAGATATTAAAAATTTTCAGGTTGAAGACCAAGCATTTAATGAAATAAGAATATACAAATTATTAATCGTTTATTTTAGACACAGCTATTATTGTTGAAATCAATTTTAAGGTACATGATTTATAATTTATAATTTTACTCTAAAAAGATTAAAGTCAAGTGACAAAATGAAATAGGTTAGCTGTCTGTACACTATGCAGGGATTAATGTTTCATCTTTTTTCCCTGGATTGGTGCTTATGAAATGTTAACAACTTGAAAGGGTTCCTGTGGCTATTCTCCATGGTAGATGTGAATGAATCCTGAATCGTAAACAGTTTTCAGAGTTTCATGGTCGTCTAGAATCTCCAGCTAAATTTCAAAGATGCTAAAGCAGCATGTAGCTCATAAAGTATTTTGGATATACCTTTTTTATGCATTAAAATATGGATGGTTTATTTCATGAATTTTCACACATGGACTTTAGCTGGAAATGCTTGGGAAAGAAAACCTGAAGATGAATAAAGAACCATATTTATCAGGTACTAATGAATCACTGGACCTTAGAACTCAGTGGGAAAAAAATGATTTCATAAAATGTTTTTTCAGATTAGATTACCACTTCAAAGCACTAGCCAGACGAAGTGAAGAAATGACATATAATGTCATAATAAACAACATGTAATCCTTTGGGCACGTATATTACTAAAGTACTACTAGGAAAGGACAAAATGTACCACAATTGTCAAGTACAGATTCTGCCTCACTGCTATGTATGTCCCCACAGAGCACTACCCGTACAGAAAGAAGTCACTCCTCCAAATCCTTTCATAGAAAATGGAATTCTTTCCCTTGAAAATATACACGATTCTTTTTGTAATAAGCATAAATCATTTCCTGACTAGACTTAAAATCCTAAGAAAGGTCAAATTAAATTATGTTATATTTGCATAATAAAATGTACTACTGTAATGAAGCAAATCATAATTATGAAGCATGAACTAATTTTTCATAAGCATTATCTTTTGATTGGAATTATCATTATTTAAACTCAGATATGGATCTGATTGCTTAAGCTGGTTATATGTTTCTAAGAAGCTTGAATTAAATGAGTTATAAAATTCATAGGCCAACGTCTGGCTCTTGATACAGGTGCATGTTATGTGAAAGATCTTCTCCTTAGTATTATTATAATTATGATTATGATTTTTTTAAAAGATTGGCACCTGAGCTAACAACTGTTGCCAATCTTTTTTTGTCTGCTTTTTCTCCCCAAATCACCCCCCCAAGTATATAGTTGTATGTTTTAGTTGTGGGTCCTTCTAGTTGTGGCATGTGGGATGCTGCCTCAGCATGGCCTGACAAATGGTGCCATGTCCGTGCCCAGGATCCGAACCAGTGAAACGCAGGGCCGCCAAAGCAGAGAGTGTGAACTTAACCACTCGGCCATGGGGCGAGCCTCCAATTAGTATTATTATTAATCTCAAAAGAAAACCAGTTTTTATAATAGAACTTGAGTATAAGGAGTTCTTCTCTTTCAGCCCAATACTAGTCATTCTGGATATTCAATACTACCCAAAGAATTTACTAAAAGTTACTCAATTTCATAGTTCAAGAAATATAAATTAAAAGACCCTAGACAGATGCTATTTTCATACACCAGATTGGCAAAACATTAAACGTATAATAAACAGTGGGTTCCAAGGTATAGGGAAAAGTCACACTTACTCATTGTTTAAAAAAACAAAAAGGAATTATTGTATCTTTATGTGTAAAAGTAAAGCATTCTTATGTGTGAATGTTAACCTCAAAAAGCTAAAATGAGAAGGTAAAAAGAGAACAGCTAGAAATAATTTAAAATATTGAGAATAGAAAATGGTACAGCAAGGATAGGGAGTCTGTGGGAGCAGAAGCATCACTAAGAGTAATGAAATTGAAAGCTCCTTGGGCACTAGGAATTTGCAGGCAATGTGGTACAGTGGGTGCAACACAGCACTGACTGCAGTCACCCTGCCCAGCTCTAAAAGCTGGTGCTGCCGGGTCCTAGCTCTGTAACCCTGGGCAGGTTGCTTAAAGACTCGGTAATTCTGATTTCCTACCAATAAATTGGAGATATTTATAAACAGGAAATCATGTTATAGGGTTGTAGCGAAGAATACAGGAGTTTATATATAAAAACACCCATAAAAGTGTTGGCACATCAATAAACAAGGTTTAGTATCTTTATTAATAAATACTTCTTATTTATTCATCCATTCATTCATTTGATTTAATCTCCCAACTAGCTTATGAAGTAGGCATCATTATTCTCATTTTGGAAATAAGATTTCAGAAGTTAATTTCTTAAGTAACTAACCCAAGGTCACATAAACTCAATAAATGCCCAAACTGCCTGAAATATGCCTATCTGACTGCAAAGTCTATGAGGTTCACCGCCACATTACCACTGCCTTGTTAACATCGTAAAACTTTCACCTGTTCCTCTGGTGTCTTGGAGGCAAGTAATTCTTCGTTGCAAAAAATACATAGCAACTCCCTGTTTCTGCTTATAAGTGAGCATACCAGAATTTTTCATTGTTAGCATAGTGATTACATGAGAAGTGTTATGACAAAAGAAAACAATCACAGAATCTTTGCCATTGGGCGTAAAGTCTCCTCTTGCTCAGTTTTAATGAAGCCCTCTAAGGTACAGAAAGAGTGTCTGGTTTTCAAATCACAAGAATCACCTATAGTTAAACCTTGTAATCAAAATATTGTCTACAAGCGGTTTCCACAAACTGATGGGCCTGAGGAGGATTTTAAAAAAGAATATAAGAAGCATTCTTGTGAATTTTGCTAATAAAACTGCTAATGCTCAATCCTGAGTGAAAACAAAATCAAATAAGTTGTAAGTACTTTTTCGGATTAAAATAATGACACATGTCATTTCCCATGTTTATTCGTACAGGCCGTAAAGATTTCCTAAAGTACAAACTCGTCTTCCACCCGCTCATGCTTATCCAGCAAAGCCTTGCCTGAGCCCTTCTCACTTGGACTTCTTTTAGCCCCTTTCACTAAACTGAAACCTTTAGTTCATCCATCTATGATGACCCTTTCGCCCCTAATTTTGACTTCCAAATACCAATACCTCTGAGAGGCACAACCACTGTCAAAATGGTCTGTCTTGGAAGAAGATACCCTATACTAACTTAAAAACACAGCGTTGCGAAGGCACTTAAATCCTGGAGATTTTATTGATAGGCAGCTCAGCTTGGAGCTCATTGCCTGTGGTGTGCAAAATACCAGTGATGACTGTGCATCCACTGATGGTTTGATGACCTAGACGGGACCTGGACTTCTTTCACTGTGGTCTGAGATCACACACACACATCGGTCTTCAGCAGGCTTGCGAGGAATGTTGGGAGTCACTAGCCTGTTGCAAATGCTGGCACATATCCCAATACATGATATATTTGAGAGAAAAAAGGACTTGAACATCCTTTGTAACTTTATGATGACTCCAGGAGCATTATATCAATGCATTTTATGATTTGCTTTCCCCCATTCTCACAACCATGAACCATTCTTTGCCATTGACCGGTGACCATTACAGAAAAGATCAACTTTATTTCCTTTCTGAGTTCTTCTACTGTATCTTTCTTGGCACTGTTCTTTCTCCAAAAACTCTTATGACTCCATGGCCTTTTATTCATTTCAAATCATGGATCAGGGCCAATTCTCAAGGATTCTGTTTCATGCCTGATCCATCAGGGTGAATTTGATATCCAGAAAACCACAACATCCAATAGCAAGATAAAAAACTAATGTGAGGACAGAAATTGATGGTGTCAAATCCATTAACCCACAAAATGACTGGGCTACTTTGCTAGTCATTCAGAAATTCTGCTCCAGTGGTGTACTCCATACTCCAAATCTGAACACCTCATTTCACCACAACTGAGGGTTGCACAGCTAGCAATTTCCTCCACTGTTTCCTGCCACTGTTTTACTGCCTATAACTGACTACCTAGATAGCAGAACTCCATGTAGTCAATCCAGAATTAGCATTACAGGGCAGAAGCCTAATACAAAGCCCACGGAAGACCACTCTAAAGAGGAGCCTTCAGGCCGTCCTTATATCAGGGGTCTATAAATAATATACAAACTCTGAAAAATTGGATCATAGATACATGGGACCCTTCCTTGTCACTACCCGTTACCACCCCACTGGCTTTCCACCTACCGCACCCAGTCTGTGTTTCACCAATCCCTCCTTCCCTTCCCTAACCTTGGCAGGATCGTGTCCTCTGCCCTTCCTTCCACATCTTACATCCCTCTAGGCCCCTGCTGTTACCGGGGCACACAAACATTAGCCCCTGGATGAAGGGGTGGTGCTGTTGTGATTCCAAGAAGGAACCAGAGAACTGACAGTGTGTTTCTGCTACCTTCTAGAAGTAATTATTGTATCCCACTACCTTGACTGTGAGAGAAAGGGAGAAAAAGAAGACCATTGCTGAGGAGCACCTTGAGACTACCTGCAGGCTAAGTGCTGGATGAGGCCTACCCTTGACTAGAGGGAAGCCATTTTGCGGAATCTGAGGAATCACGTCCCTGTGCACCATGGTACCTGTTGCCTGGCTTTTCCCATTTTTCATTCCTCTTACCCCGGATGTCTCAACCTCACCTCTCAGATAACTGACTGAGCATGCTGTTCTCACATCAATAATCTGTATGATACCAGCAAGCACACAACAAACAACACAGGCAAGGAGATTTCTTCTTACTACTTCTCCTACAAAATGTCATCTCCCTGAGACATATGAGCTATGCATTTTGTCTGTGTGTCTTAGCTTCCCGCAGTAAACACACTAGGATCGCTATTTAGCTGCAATAATCGTTTCTGAATGCTGTAACCTAAGGGACATTATCTGGTGCCATCAAGACATTTCCATTACTGTGGTGGTATCAGAGTATGATAACCTCAGCTATCAAATGAAGAAATACTTAACAATTTCAAAACCACAAATCTAGACAGCCAATTTTAAAATGACTGAATTATTGGGTAAAATTAATCAAAACAGTGGCTTTATGGAACTAGGCAGCATGGCCAAAGACATTTATATGTTCTTCTTCTATAAACATTTATGTAGGACCACATGCCCCTTCTTAATTTCTTCAAAATCCAAACTTTCTTCAACTAAGTGGAGGCTGTAGAAGCTGCTTTTTATACAATTAATATTCTATAGCCAAATGAACATTTCTAATTGAAAATGGTGGAACAATCTCTCATCTTCCAGCCACAACTCTCACTGAAATTACTGCAGCTCACGATATGCTGTGGATCTGAGCAACACACAAATGTCCACATTCTCAGAGCTCCATGCAGAGGAAATAGGAAGTTGTGATCCGCTCAGAGAAATCCTAAGGAAATAATTTCTCCTGAGGAAGTATATTTCTCAATATACTTTGATTACTACCCAAAAAGAATCTATTAAGCATTTAAAATTGTACTAACTATAAAATATTAATATCTTTACATACGTTGTTTTACTTAAATCTTTCCAGGGAGACACCATTATCACCGTTTTCCATATAAGGAAGCTGAGATTTATGGAAATTAAATTATTTTCTCAAGTGATGGAGCCAAGGTTTGAATCCAGGTGTAAATCCTGTATTTGTATTGTAACGGTTATGAAATCTGAGATGGAATCCTGGCAGAGCCACTTAATCACTTAATCTGGGCCTTTGTTTCCTCATCTATAACCTTAGCATCTAACAGGGTCTCTCAACCTCAGCACTATCGACATTATGGGATAGGTTATTCTTTGCTGGAGGAGCTGTCCTATGCAATCTAGGACCTCCAGCAGCATCCCTGGCCTCTGCCCACTAGAAGCGAAAAGCTTGACCTCCACAGTTCTGAAAACCAAAAATGGCTCCAGACATTGTCAGACGTCCCTGGAGAGTAATCTAGAAATGAATTTATGCTTGAGAATGTTCAGTCATGGATTATTTCATTTACTAATGAATATTACAACAGTGATTAGTATGTTGAGATTGTAAATGAAATTAAACTGCAAAATATGTCTTACCTAAAGTCTTAACAGGATCAGAGTAATCAGAGTCTGTAAACTGTCCCATGACATTTGTGGCTCTAAATTTAAATCTATGAAATAAAAAAAAGCGAAAATGAACAATTTGCAAGCCATATGACTATTTTCTATGAACAATTTAACAGATAGCTATGAAAAATGTACAATTTCATTCAAGACAAAATAAATTTACAAGATGTAAACTTGGTATACTATCTTTAAGTGAGATAAGCAAACATCCTGTACATGGACCTCGTGAACTTCATGAGAGCCAGACTCATGAGCAGTCAGCAGGTTAATCTGATAAAGCAGAACACCTCCCTCATAGATTCGTTTGGGGGAAATGATTTAATGTCTTTATGAAAGTGTGTTGTATAAACATACTTTATAAATATAAAGCATAATAACTGTTATATCTCAACCACCTTTGAAGATACCAGTGAACCAGATTTAGAATGGTCATACAGAATTTAGTTTGTTCACATGTAAACAAATTAAGAACAATGCTTCTTAACTCTGTGTGTGTACAGCTGACTTTTCACATTCTTTGCTTTTATGACACATGAAATAGAAAATGGGTGCAGAAGAGAACCAATCTTAAAAATCACTGCATGAGTCTAACATGAGACAACCAAAATTTGCCTTATTTAAAAACTATAGGCATCCAGGCGTTTTAAAATATAAGACCAATTTACGTTAATAAATTGCACTGCACAATTTAAGTTCTACTTTTCTCAAGTTCTTAAAATTTTATTGATTATATAAAGAGTCTGGGGAAAATATGCAAAATAAATAATACTTGAATATTAAACTTTGTGGTACATCATTTTCATCTGTCATATGTATGAAGACTAAATTTCAGGAAATAACTTGGTAACCAAAGTAATTGTACTTAATAATACATGATAGAGCATTCTTTTTCAAATGCCTAACTTTTCTAATGTTAACTTGGCCTAGGATATTCATCAAAGAATTAATAATGCTGTAACTAGCAGGCAAAACTGAAACTAATTGCATTTTTCAAATTTAGTAGTAAAAAGTATATTTTGTAAATTAAATAATTAAAAAAATTTTTAAATTGTATTCTTATAAAAATAGTGTAGTCAATTTAACAGAAGAAAATAATCAATTTAGCAAAGCATTTAATAAAGTCAAAATGTCAGCATTGGTTTTTAATATATTAGATTATTATGATCTACAAAATGCCAAGTGTTATAGTGAATTGTAAAGATTTCAATCACTCATTTAGATGTTTGATGGTACAAAGAGCAGAAAATTATTGCTATGACTGAGGGAAACTGAAGCCATCATTAACCAAAAGACTAGGATCGTGTTTCCAAAGACCTGTACATTAGCATGGCAACATAATGAGTGAAAAACACAAAGCACTACACATTAGTCACATTGTCCTCTACAGAAAGAATTAAATTCTTCTACCTATGTTCTCCAATTGCACATTTTTCATCTTGTCCTTATGTCACTTATATCAAATCATAATTACTTTTAAGCTAGCCTGCTCTTGCTATAGAACTATACATTTATGGGATGTAAGGACAATGCCTTGTTGATCTTTACCTTGTATCAGGTCATGATACATTATGGATGCCCAGTGCTTACTGGAAAGATGAAAGGATGGGTAGATAGATGGTTGAAAGATGTCAACTAGCTTGTTAACATGATGCATAGTAAGCATAAACAATACTTACAAATATTGCTTTTTTGGTTTCAGCGGCCCATTGCAAATTTTGTCTTCATTGCCAGGAATCATACATGCATTATCAGCACCAATGATGTAGATTTCTTCATTGCCACTGAACTTTGTCTTTCCTTCTGTACATGGGGGGTTAGGAAAGCCTTCATTTGTAAAATATGGCCTTGGTTTATTAAAGTATGCATCATACCACTTTGTTACATTTCCATCATGCTGAGCTGCTTTCAGAAAAAAAGAATAATGATTACAAGTAATATATGAATGTATTTTCACATTTATAAAAAGTTTTTCTATAATTGCATGAGGAAAATCTGGATGCAACATCTGTCACTCTATGAACCACCAGGGATGATTCAGCTGATCTACCTGGATAAGCAGGCAACCCTATCCTTTCCCATCACACGTGAATCTATAGGCATTACTGTAGAGGACGGCTTCCCAGGAAGAGAAAGAACATCTCTCAGTCAAGGGTAACTCGCTTGTTCACACCTCCAAAGATGCTATCAAGACCCTATCTTGCCAACATCAAAATAATCCTATCAGCATATAGAATAAATAAATCATATATTTTAACTATGCCTTTTCTTATTTTGGTAAAATATTTTAGGTCTAAATTAACGATTAGTATAATTAATGATAATACTGACAATCTATTAAGCTCAAGAGTTGTGTGATAATCAGGAGTCAGCCTTAGATTACTAATTTTGAACTGACATTTTTTAGCATTTGGTAATTCACATTCTACAATTTAACAAGATAAGCTGACATCTGATGATACCTCCTGCTTCTGCCACAAGCACTTGTACATTTTTAATTGGTCCATGATCATCGTTGTAGTAACATATTGGCATTCTGATTGTGATTGTTGTGGAAGTCACCAGCAGTTTCCCTGTGGCATCATAAATAGGGATGGGCTTGGTTTTCGGTCGTGCTGGAGCTATACACAAAGAAGAAATATCACTACCATTGATTGATTGTTTCTGAAGAGAAGAAAAACATTTAAAATTCTCATTTCATGCAGGTAATTTACAGATAAAGTGAGGACAAACATAAATAACAAAAGAAACAGAGTTTTGCTTGGATACAGCAGATATTTAGCAATTATTATCTCCTGATGGTATAATTATATATTTGAGACTTGCCTGAGATAATGGGGCGCAGGTGTGATTTTTCAGGCATCTGACTCCTCTTCACATATTAAAAAAATTTAAATTATATATGCTTTCAGTCATATATAATTTTCATAAATGCATTAAATTATACTAATATTTTAGTGGATTTTTTTCTTCTTTTACTTCCTTTAGCTGGTTCATTAATTTCTATTCTAATCACACCAGCACCACCCCCCCACTGTTGATCCATGCCAAATATAAGGATGACACCCTCCCATATTTTTCTCCACATTCACATAATCATATAAAAATACATAAAGTCATACATAATGGATTCTTCTCACTGTTTCATCTTTTTTAAATGGGGCTATATTACATATTATGATTACTCCACATATTGCTTTTCTTGCGTAAACATGACTCGTGTAAGTCTTTCCAAGTCACTAAGCACAGGGCTAACTCATTATTCTTAATGACTATGTTGTATATCATGGTGCAACCACACCATATTTATTCAATCCTTCATCTAGTAATGGAAATTCACTTGTTCTTAAGGTTTTGAACATTTGCTGCAATAATTAGCCTTATAGGTTAGCTTTATTTATTGATTCTTTTATTTCTATGGAATAGATTCCCAAGAGTAGAATTTCTGGAACAAAAAATATATGTATTTTTAACTTTAATACATATTGCCAGAATAATTTCTAAAAGTGCCATGATATTTCATGTTAATTCATACAAATATGTCCATAATCAATGTTTGTAGAAGCTCTGCTTGTTTTGTTTCACCTTATAGCTATGTATACTAGCTATTTGAGCATCAGTAAGTTGCTTAATCAAAATTCAATTACCATATTTATTAAATTTTTTTAAAAATCCTCTCAATTATGTCATAAAATTGGCAACAGTATTTGCATTTTATAGATGAGGAAATGGCCTTTTGTCACATAGCTATAAAAGGGAAATATCAAGATTTGAGCCAAATCTTTTTGACTTGATCCTTCAGCTCACTCCTCTGAAATATACGGGCTGTAATGTCATTCGATGTGTAGAAAGTTTATTGGGAGAAATATCTGTGAAGAATAAAGGGACAGGGAGCAGGAGTAGGTGGTGAGAGCCTTTAGACCAGAGATCACGTGTCTGACACCTGTGAACGAGGAGAAGGAAGGAAGGATTAAGTAGGAAGAACCTGAGTTTTCAAAGAGTTCTGGGAAACTCTCAACAAGGCCACTGGGGAGTCCCCAAGAAAAGGTTTCCAGTTAGAAGAATCTGGCACTGCACGTTACTAGCCAACTTGATTTTATCTGTCAAATGCAAATTTAATGAGACTACTATTAAGTCAATGCCATTCCACGTCACTAATAAAATCATGCATATTTGTACATTCCAAACACATAACTTATCAATTAAAAGAAAATAATTAATACTTATAAATAATATTACAATTATATAAACTACTCATTGATGAAAAGATAAAATTTATCAGCTTCATCTGACAGTGAATATTTCTTATTCTTAACAGTACTGGTTTCTAGGCCTCGTCTTAAGAGTTTTTCAAATATAATCTCTTTTAATCCTCACAACAATCTATGAGGTAAAAACTAATATTATCTCCATGATAGAGGTTAAGAAACTTGCCCAAAGTCAAACTGATATCAAGCGGCCATCCATGATTCAATCTCAGCAGTCTGAGCCCAGACTCAGCCTGGAGCAGGCACTTTAATCACTGTGCTCTGCTGTCCTTCCCAAAGATTGAGAAAAGTTACTTTTTGATTTAAAAAGAGAATAATTGGGTGGAATTCTACTAAAGATTCATACGTTTCAGTTTTTTATCTCTCTGCAGGTTTTATCACAGATTTTTAGAGAAATGACACAATTGCATGCATGTTTTCAGTCTCAGGAAGAGAAGAAACCTTGAATGAATGAATGGTCCTAAACTCTTAAAAATCTTTTGGGGACTTTTTGAGGGGCAGGAGGCCTCCGAATCTTAGTCATAGTTTCTATGAAAAATATCTGTCAGAATAATGGATTGATTAGATCCACTTTATAGTCAGAATCATAAAGTAGAATATATGGTAATTTGGTAAACACTATTTGATTACCTGAAAAGAATCTGACTTTCAAGATAAACAAAGATCAGTCAAGGAATCTAATTAGAACTAGCCAAAGTCTAGTTATGGGCAATTTAAAGGGTGTTTTCTTTTCAATAAAATTAAAAAGCCTAAAATAACAGGCTATAAAATGTGTCTTGGAAAAGTTTAAATTTAGAAGAAAAGAAATATAAGATAAATAGCAGGTGGGCATTCTCTTTATTTAACATGGTAATTTGTATCATTATTTAGACTTTTAATTATAGCTTTAACAAGCATACATTACTACTTAATGTGTCTTATTATATGCATACACATCACTTAAAATCTTGACTTCATCCTTAACTCTAATACAGAATACAAATTACAATTAAGAAAACAGCATTTCGCAGGAAGGCATCTCATGTATGTACCTTTAATATCCATGGTTATTCTCATCTGAACCTTTGGCCCTGCACCAGCGCTATTGATCGCATAAATCTAAAACAAAGAAACATCTTGTTACTATTTTCAAATTACTGCTTATGTGTATATATAATTATAGTTATATGTAATTTTAAGATGATTCCATTTTTAAAGACAACTGCATCTAGTCTATTAGTTATATTTTTCTTGCACTCACTTAAATGAATACAGTATTTAGAGGAAGACTATTTAACCACAAAGTAATTCTTAAAACTGATATTACGGTACTAAACCCTGAGAACAAAGACCTAAACAGCCCGATCACAAAGCCCACGAAAGGATGTGGCTTCAATTTGAATCCGTAGGAAGAAAGAGCAGAAAGCCACCATGTCTACACTCTCCATCTATTCTAACATCTGTTCCTTCTCTCTGCAGCTAGGTAACTCAGGCTTTCTTTAAATCCATATTCAAGATCCTCTTTTTTTCCTTCTCTGAGATGAAATCCTATTCCTTCAGCCTCCCAGTTTTCCTGTATTAAATCATCCCTCTGAAAGTTGGCCTTTATGCCCTTTTTCACCCCTGCCCCAAAGTATCTGAAGCTATAACCTGCGTAATGCAGCATATACACATAAAGCATTTCTGTTTGTATATACAGGGTGATTTACACAAATGGAAATCCTTTCAATTAACCTTGCGCTTAGGACGCTGTAGACACAGAATCTTCTTTTATTCACTTTATCTTGCTATATAAAATAAAGACTACGTACTTGGCCAATTTTGTTATATTGATAAATACGATTCAGAACATATCTTTACTGAAATTAATTAAATTTGTTTTATATATTAGCTGCCCACTCTTCACACTATGGACGCTTTGGAAGTGTTTTGATTGAATCAAAATTATAAAATATATGATGTGGTAGGTACAGTAAACAGGCCAAGCCCATAAAATGTAGTTTAAAAATGTCTAAAAGAAATACTTATTGGAGTATGTAAATTTCAAAAAGGAAGCAATCAAAATGAAAAATGATGTTATGGAATACTTGATTATGTTTATTTCTTTATGGTACAACCTAACCTTTAAGTGAGATAAATGAAAAAGTTAGGCAGTGCTTCTCAAATCGCAGTGTGCAAAGAAGGCACGTCAAACCCTGTTAAAGGAAGATAGGTTGTGATTCAGTAGGTTGGGGCAGGTGCAAAAGTTTTACATTTCTAATAAACTCTCAGGTGTTCAGGATGCTGTAAATTGCACTTTGCAAACAGAATATTCATTTATTTTCTTTAAATTACAAATTAGTTGTACATTGTCATATTTCCTATTTGTTCTTTTATTTCCAAAAGCCAAAACTGGTACAGCACTCACCATAACTATTAATATTTAATACTTACAAAAATCCTATAAAAGAACTTACTATTCCTATTACTAATTTTTCAGATAAGGAAACTGTGGCACAGATTTGAAGAAACTGCCCAGATAGAAACTAGTAGAAACTAGGATTTGAACCTAGATCAGTTCATTCTCATAACCACCACCTTCTCTCTAACAGATTTTTCACAATGATGGTCCACTTAATGGTACATGGAACAAGAATCCTAGCAAGACAGATTATACAATAAGCTATAAAGTGAGTGAGGGAAGGAATGGATATATATATACAAATTATTAATGAGAGTGTTCTGATATAATCATAAAGAGTTGGTAGGAGGATTACTTACTAACATTCTTGAATGTTTAGGGTGGATTCTGTGTTCTTAAAAGACAATCCTCTGAATCATATAATTCTATTTGAAAATTCCAGGACATGCTACAAAAATAGTCAAAGGGTGGAACAAATTGTGTGTGTGTGTGTCTGTGTGAATGTACATGAACTCACATACATATTTACTTTCCAAAATGGATAATTTAGAATTAAAATATAAAATGTTCTCAGCTTTCAGTAATAGTTGTGTGAAATGTATGTCAATTTCAATCATGTAAATAGTTATTGCTGCCCTTTGCTTCGGAAATTCCCTTTCCATTTTCCATTTATACTCACACATTAACAGTTTCCCTTTAGGCAAAATGACCTCTTTCTATATCACTTCTCTTTTGCTTTTAACATGCATTTTCTTACACCCTTATTTTATTTCTGGATTTCTACTATAATTATGCAAGTTTTTTTGTCATCTACATATTTTGATAGGACGTACTTTTATAACAGGAAATCAGCAATTTCATTTCTCTAAACCTATTTTCTGTTGGCATGTCTAAAACGATCCCACAAAAAGATATGAAAAATGTAGTGTGTACGTAAGCTGCAGTGGTTTTGAATGCTGAGTTTGTAAACTGACTTTGTAAAATAGGTAAATAATTAAAAGCTATGAATACGTACACTGATATTGTATGTATGTCCACCTTTTAGTCCTTCTAACACAGCAATGACGGATGTGTCAGTTTTCTGGATAATGCTGAGATTGTGAATCTGGAAGGCAGTAGGGTCATCTTCTCTGTAAACCAAAGCTTGATATACTTGGATGTTTCCATTGGGTTGAGAAGGAGGAAGGAATGTTAACTGGAATTTTGTAACTTCGTCTGGTATCTTCTGAAAGGTCATGTTGTTAGGTGGATCCTTTGGGACTAAATGCAATAATTAGCAATTAAAATTTTCTAGAAGTTTGTGCTCTTCTTGATCTCCATATAAAACTTATTTGCTTCAAATTTCTGTTTACAAAGAGTATTACACAGGTTATTTAAACTATATATTAATATTCTTAATTAATATATTAAACTATATTATAGAAACAAGCAAAATGGATGATGCATTGTAGAATCATTGACACCTATGGGTCACAGAAACCACAACAGGGATCCAGTTCGTCTGCTTATTTATTTACTTTCAATAGCATTTACTTTTATACAGAATACATCTCTCTGATTTTTCAAACTTACTTAAAGATAATATAGATTCAGAGGAAGTTGCAAAAATCATACATACAGTCCCCTGTAAACATCCCCCAGTTTTCCCTGGTGGTGACATCTTATGTGCCTGAGGTTTAACATCAAACCTAGAAACTGACATTGGCACAATACAGTTAGCTAGACTACAGACCTTATTCAGATTTCACCATTTTATCATGCTTGCCCCTATGTGTGTGTAGTCCTTGCAATTTGATCCCATGTATAGATTCCTGTAACCATCACCAGAAACAAGATACAAAAACTGCTCCATCACCATGAAGAACCTTCCTCCAACTATCCCCTTGTACTTGCACTTCATGCCTCCCCACAACAGTAATCATTCTCCATCTCCATAGTTTTGTCATTTTAAGAAAAACAATAGCATAATGACCTTGAAGTCCATCAGGGTTGTTGTACATATCAATAGTTCATTCTTTTTCTATTGCTGCATAATGTTCATTTTATAGATGTACCAGAGTTTGTTTAATCATAGAAAAACATTTGGGTTGTTTCCAGTTTTTTTATTATTAATAAATCTGCTATTAACATTCATATACAGATGTTTATGTGAACATAAGTTTCCAATTCTCTGTGGTAAATGCCCAAGAGTGTAATTGCTGGATCATGTGATAAGTGCATGTTTAGTTTTTTAAAAGATTACCAAACTATTTTCCAATGTGGCTACACCCTTTTACGTTCCCACTAGCAATGTTTAGAGAGCCAGTCTTTCTGCATCTTTGCCAGCATTTGGTGTTATCACTATTTTTAAAGTTATTATTTTATCTGTTCTAATAGATGCATAGTGAGATCTTACTGCGGTTTTAATGTGGATTTCCCTAATAGCTAATGATGCTGAAAATCTATCTTATCATGAGTTTATTTGCCAATCATATCTCCTCTTTGGTGAAATGTCTGTTCATGTCTTTTGTCAAATTTCTAATTAGATCTTTTTAAGTGTTGAGTTTTGAGAGTTCTTTATATATTCCAGATATTCCAGTTTATTTTTGTTAAATAAAAGTTAGCCTAACATATAACTAGCTAAGTATTAATACATTATTATGAAAGAAAATGATATACGTGAGGATAAGATCATTTTATGAATATAGGACCTAGTTCTTGCTTTACTATATAATTAGTGTTCTTTACATAAACGGCTGATTGAATGAATATATGTATTTTGATCAAATTGAAATGGATATATTCTTCCATTCTAAGTAACGAATCTCCATGAAGAAGGCTTTTAATATTTGCTTGTCAATAGCTCAGATGCTCAAGCTTTATTTTCTTGCAATCATCTTTATACATAGTGCCCTGTGGCAAGCAAAAACAAAACTGAGAAAAGAAAGAAAGAGGAACAGATAAACATGTTATTGTGTCAAATATCACATTTTAAGTGGAAAAATGCATAACTAAAATAAAGGTTAAATGGGTTCAACACATTTTCACAACATTTGCTGTTATACATTTTTACAGTACATGAGAAATACTTATTTTATGAGACGTTTTTCTAAAAATAGAATTAGGTTTAAAGTTGGATAAGTGAAAGAATTCTCTAAGTGCTAGAAAGAACTTCCTATCTTCCAAATATCTTTGGTTTTACATCTAAAATTCTATTCTTAGAGGTTTAGGAAAAATTTATTAAATTACAACATCCTTGGGAGAGGTGGCATATTAAAATTTGCAATCAACGCTTTATGGTATGAATGTGAATAAGTTCAGCAGAGTCTTTCCTCACAGATGAGTAGAATGAGGGAGAAGTGCAAAAAGTACAATAATAAAACACATACCTGGGATACACGTGGCAGCAAAGTGGAAAAACGTGGAATTTTAAGGTGTTGAGGATAAGATGTACCTTTTCATTTAGAACTCTAACTTTATAGACAGTAGAGTATATAACATAAGGAAAAGACTAGCTAAAAATATGTTTACCTCCTACACTTACCTTACAGATAGCAACAAAGAAACTATAACAGCACATCCCTTCATGTGCTCTTTCCAAAGATACATCTGGTGGCAAAGAACATCAGGAGTCTGAAGGAGGGCGGGGCAAGCGAGTTCTGGGATGTTGACTTTCCACAGTTAATTCTGATTGGTACAATCTTATTATTCATTCAGACCCTGTTCATAGGAACTTGAGGAAATCTGTATAGATTCTGTTATTTATCATATAGATTATAAAACATGTTAATAAAACATGTCACTTAACTAAGTGAAGAAAACAGATATGGCAAACACGACCTAGATTCTAATGTTGAAGTCCAGATTACTTAACAATAGAGTATTATTACTTTAATGTGCATTGAAATCATGGGTCACAAATAACTACAATGAAATTTTTAGGTGAAGCATTACAGGCCATAGACAATTGGAAAAATCATGTCTTAGGCAAGGTAACTCAATTTCTGAAACATTTAGTGTGTAAATAAATGCAAACAAAGTACAATTGGGTACCTTGTTATGAACTAATTTGATTGTGTATTTACAAAGACTGATTGTTCTACATAATTCCACCTTGCTTTGAAAATGTGAATGGAAACCTTCATTTTTGTCAATCACAGTGAGTCACTGAATTTTGTATTTAAACGCTTTAAAAATTTTCGTAACACTTACCCTTTGAGGGTGGGGTGTGAGAAAGTGTAAAAAAGACACCAAACTTTCGGTTAATTTTTAGCAATGATGAAAAATATGCCTTACCTGATTCTAAAGTAGTAACAATCACTTCAGAACTCGACTTTCCATCTACATACGCAGCAGTAATGTTTCCGGTGAACGCTGTGATCACCACGGAATACCTTGTGAATATTTTCAAATCTTTAATTTCTATGGTGTTATTTTCTTCATTTGATTTAATTAAGGAAATATTAAATTCATCAGTATCTACCTACAGGAAAAAAGTAGGCAACAATGAATGGAAGCAGCACTTGAGATACAAATCACTACAAAACAACAACACAAAGCTACGCGGGATATATTTATCTAGCCAAAATTCAAATTATTACTATTATTATTATTATTTTACAGTCAGATTGTCCTGGGAAATCTAAAGTGCTACTTAACAGTATTATTTTGACAAATGAAAGTAAAAGAAAAAAAAGCCAATCAACCAACCACCATCAATCATCCCACCCAATAAACAGGCAGAAGTCGTCTCTGTAGTCCGTGAACCTCTACTTTGTACTCCAATGTTTTACAGGAGAAAGATAGGTTTTGGTGTCCAACCGTCAAGCGTTCTAACGCCAACTTGGTTACTTAACAGCTTCTGTAGCATTTGACAAGTCACTTATGCTCTCTGTGTCTTACTTTCTGTGTATGTATAATTGGGGTAATAAATCTACTTATAGTGATTTTGTTGAGATTTAGAAAAAATAGATCTGAAGTAGCTGCATAGAGATTTTGATTTTTATTTTTACCATAACCCACAAAAAGGAAATATATTTGTAACATAATTCAGGATATATGTATGTGAGTGTGTGTGTGTGTGTATACACTCATATATATTTCTTTATAAGTAAAAAATGATTTTCAGAAATACAACTTCTTTCTGAAATGCACTTTGATATTTTTCTGCTCTTTTTAATTTTACTCCAGTTCATTTAAAAATGCTGGTCATGATGGCAGTTTGAAAAACTCTGACCTAGCACTTCACATGCACTGGGTAAGGAGTTGATTAACTGTGGATGTCATAATTATTACATGTGCACAAATGAGTATCCTTAGGTATATTTAAATATAGCCATATAATTTTTTCAAATATAGTTTATCTCTGATGGAGAATCTGGCCTATTCACCATAGGGATTAAACATAGCAAAAAATTTCTAGCGGTAGGTAGTAGAGCTTTTCCTGAGATGAACATCAAAAAATTTGAAATCTTATTATGCGTGCTCTCTCAGGTTTGTGGTTGTACCATGGAGTCATCGAATCCTAGCGCCCTGTGGACAGCAGAGTAGAACCCTGCCTGGACTTTTTGCACCATCCTCTCGCCTTCTGGCGCTCGATCAGACAGTGCTCCCCTGCTGTTCATAGGGTTTTCAAGGCCAGAGTGGTGGAGGGAGATGTTCCACTTCTCGAAAGTGGTAGAAAAACAAGTCAGCTTAGAAATCCAATTGATCAGGCACATGTACTCACTGGTAGGAAGTGTGTGTATGTTTAATTAGTTGTCAACATTTAAATATCACATAAAAATCTGGCTTTTAAAATTTTCCTTAAGACTAAGCTTCTATTCATGCTGGGTAACAATTTTCTAGAGATGAGTGACAGGTGACTTCTGTAATGGGGCAGGGGTCTCCAATTCATCACCGCCCACCCACTTGACTTCACTTTGATGGCTCCTTTATGTTGCTTGCCTGACTACTATCACTATTTGAACTCTGATTTTACAGAGTTGAGGTGAATTCCTTACGAGCCCATAACTACTTAGGAGCTGAGATAGGATTTGCCCCCAGGTCTTTCGAGAACTCTCTGCACTACCACAGGTCATTGGGCCTGATCTCATAAAGTGAAATTAAACTACTCCAATGCCTTCCACTAAAACAATGGAGAACAAATATCAAGTAGTAAAAATATGACATGGCATGTATATAATCCTCTAGATCTTAAAAATATTGAATAAAGTTCAAAAACATGTTGGGTCCTCGAATACAGCATATGCAAAAATTCATTATCTGTCTTCACTAAGCCTACTCCGCCTTCATTATTATTACCCATTATTCACCCGCATGCCCAGGACTGAAACGTCAGACTTTGTTGACCCATCATCTGCCTTCAATCAGTTTCAAGTTTGTTGCTCGTATTATATTTGATCACCTATTATTATTATGAAATGTCTCCCACCGTTTTTGAAGTGTGGTGGTTTTACATACAATGTCAGTTATTAGACATTTGGTCTATTTTCTCTCCTTTTCCTGCCCCGCCTGCCCCCTTCTGCACCTGGCACACCCTCTTCATTTCTCAAGTACCAGAACAAATTTATCCTGTTCTGTGAAAGTCTCCTCTTTATCCTACATCCCCCATAACACGAACTTACTTACTTTGATAGTTTATATTCTGAAAAAGCTGCATACTGCACACTCATTGTAGGGAATAGAAGATACTCAATAAGCATTTATTAAGTAAAAAAATAAAGGGACAATGAACAAGGACCACAAAATGCATTAATTTCCAGTAGAATCATCCAGGAAGATATCTGCACCCATATCTCTTCATTTAAGATTGTCAATTTTTGCTTAATTTGAGTTTTTTAAGGGAAGAGTTTTATGTCTTTGTGGCTGGTATTTGGCAAAGCCAAGGCTGCAGCCTAAGTCCTAAATTCAATGACGTGTGTTCTTCCCTGGCCTGGCAGCCAATGACTCTTGAAGGTAGTTATATATTCATGAAATGAGCTGCAGATAAGCTCTACAAAGACAGTGACCACATCATTCTTGTTCATGTCTACGTATCCAGAACCTAGCACAATGCTGGCATGTTGGATGTATTTAAAAATGTGTGTTGAATGAATGAAGGAAGGAACTAAATGACTACTTAGTTCCAAGAATCCCAGGAACAGTGAGAAGTCCTACAATCTGTTTGATTTCTTGCTATCTTTGATCCAAAGGGGTTTTGGTGAGCATATATTTCAATTTGGCAATTTTTTTTGCTAGTTGATGACTTTTCCTTTCTCTTATCACACCATTGTCTGCTGGTCTTAGCTAGGTCTTCACTATTTAAGAAGTTGTTTATGGTCTCTGTGCCTCAGTTCCCCTTATGCAAAATGAACATAATATTTACACCAAAATGTTGTTAGAGAAAATAAGATATGATAAGATAATGCATATGAAGAAGCCAACATGTAACTTACAGAAAATAAGCAATTACAATATTAGTTATCTTTCCGTCCTTCTCTTTCCCTTGCTCATTTTTAATCTCAATAAGAATGTTAAGAGGATGAGGTTATAAATTACTTTTTAAAATGTCTTATTTTCCCTTCTTTTAAGCACAAATTCCAAGATAGAACAAATTTTGTTAATAATGTGTCTTTTATTTGATAGAGCAGAGCATTATCATTTTTAATTTGCTTTTAATGCATTTCCCAGAGCATTTGTCATCATGTTGATTATTTTTTGCTATTATAAACTAAAAATCTTCACAAACATGCTCCAATAATCCCTTTAAACTTTATTTTAATTATGACAGGTCTTTTGAGATAGAACTATTTCCATTTAAGATATACTGTAAAGACATAAAATTATAAAAGCTAAACAAGAGACAGAGATGGGAAGAAAAGGGGAGGAAAATTCACCATAAATTACCTAATATAATGCATTGTATGCACCAAAAGAGAGTGGTCATCAGACCCGGTAAAACCTAGAGAGGGTGCCAAGGAGGTATTTCCCAATCCTAATCGTAGCTAACAACCCCATGTTATTTACATCGTTGACCACCCTGTTTTAGATGAAAGACTTGATGCTTATGCTTGAGCTTCCTTCTGTCTGGATGGCTCCTCCAAGTTGATGTCTTCAGTGGCCTCTTATTTGTATGTTTGTATTCCCTAGGATTCTATCCTTGGTTGGTTCTTATAAAAGAGATTCCTTTTTTTTTTATTGTTGTCAAAATAGTTTATAACATTGTGAAATTTCAGTTGTATATTAATATTGTCAGACACATATAAATGTGCCCCTTCACCCCTTGTGCCACCCTCTTCCCCCTGGTAACCACTATTTTGTTCTCTTTGTCCATAAGTTTGTTTATATTCCACATATGAATGAAATTGTATGGTGTTTGTCTTTCCCTGTCTGGCTTATTAGCAGAGATTCTTACTCTACATGTTCTACGGTTAATCCCATCTATTCTCATCATTTCAACTATCACCTAAATACCAACACTTCCCAGATCTGCAAACCCATATTTCCTTCCTCAGTTCCAGATCCATATATGATACTGCTAATGGGGTATCTTCACCTGGCGGACTCCCAAGCATCTCAAACTCAGTGTAGAGGAAATCCAGTCTTTCCCTCTGCAAATCTATTCCTCCTTACAATTTTCCAAATCATATATCTCAAAGTCATCCTCAAGTCTTCTTTACACTCACCATCCCTTGATTTTTTTCACCAAATCCTGTAGGTTTAAATTATTTTTCATTCTATTCCCTTGCTATATTTCTTCTGTCCTTATCTTTTCTTGGCCAGCTTACTTTGAGAGTTTCCTGTCTCCTTGCCTAATTTCACCCCCCCAGGACTGCTCCAAAACGATCCTCTACAATGCAACCACACTGATCCTGTGAAACAGAAAGCTATATCCCGACTGCTTTAATTCCTCTGTTGGCACCCCACTACCCTTCTCATAAAACCCAAACTCCATAACATCGTATGCAGTCTGCTCCTGGTCCAGCCTCATGTCTCAGCATCTTCTGGAATTCCTTGACAGGGGATTCCTGAACTACTTGCTTTTTCTTCAATGAAGTCTACTCTTTCACACCTCTCTTGCATTTCCTTTTCCTGTTCTGTTCTAATTATTCCTCAAGATTAAGCGCTAATGTTATCTTATTTGGTAGATATTTCCCCTAAAGCCTTCTCCCTTCTCCTTTTGCACTATGAGTTCTTTTTCACTGTATTTTAAACCAATGTATTGTTATCAGTTTAACCACTTGGGTTTATATACATCGTCTCTACGCTGAAGATAAGTATAATAATAATCATGGTAACAATACTTTATTTACATTTATTGAGCACTTACTATGTGTCAGGCAATGTTTTAAGTTCTTTATGCATGTTAACTGATTTAGTTTTCAAAAAGCCTCTGTACCATGGGTGCTAATGTTATTTATTTTACAGATGTGAACACTGAAACACAGACAGGTCAAGTAAGTTGCCTAAGGTCTAACAGAGCTAGGAATCAAATTCAAATAGTCTGATTCCAAAACCTGTATTCTTAACAGTGTTTTCTACTGCCTTTTACAGAAGGTAAGACGTGCCTTACCGATTTGACATCTATCAGATAGAATGTTGGTCCAGTAATGACAGCCGGTTCACTCCAGCTGATGTTGATGCTGAAAGGTGATGTTGCTACTACATACACATTTTCAGGAGGACCATCTGGAGCTATGAAAAAGAAAATGAATTACCCTGCTACTTTTAAGTTAGTATTTGCTACAGTACAATAATAGAAAAGACCATGAAAAATGGATAGTCATCATGAATTAACTATACATTAATTTATGGTTCACAGCATGATTGGCAAATCAAAAGATGCAATTCCTTCCAAAATATTTAATATACATAAAAAACTTCCACATGAGAAATTATTAATCATAAATACACGATTTTTTAAACTCAAAATAATTTTGAAAAGAAAGCATTACTAGTGCTAAAATAAATCTTTTGAATAAATAAATATTTTTATTTAAAAATAGGCTAACAATATCGTTTTAAACTTGCGGAAGCATATTTGACTGCAGAAAAGTGAAACTGGTACGAGGAAATTAGATTTAAAATGCATTGTCTAACGAATGAAAATTGGGTTGGTTTTATTGTTTTCACTGAGGGAGTAGCATAGAAAATAGGTTATACAACTGATCTTATTATTAAATATGTAAACATTCCCTGAATTCATTATGATTCCACATAAATTCTTTAATTCGTTCTGGTTTTATTATTGTTGTTTTTTCATCGAGAGGGAAAAACAAGACATGATATTTTAAGGAACCGACTGCTGAAAACCTTGTGCAAGTTTTCATTGGTGAAACCACTAGGAATTAGAAGAGTTTATAGTATGTTAAGAACTATTTAGTGATAGTTAATTTGGCATAGACATTGGCCTAGGAACACTGTTACACACATCTTGTCCTCCTGTGGCCCATAGTCAATTCTAGGGACATTAAATATTGGGAGATAAGTATTTCCTAGTATATCTGATTTTTAAAATCCACATGAACAAATATTATTGACCAAATATTATTCCATAGATACTGAGAAGATATAAAAAGGAAGATAAAATATTCTTCTCCTCAAATAATTTAGAAGAACAACAAGTTGTGTGATCTTGATCAAACAACAAAACTTCTGCACCTCACTTTCCTCTTCATATGCACATTTCATAGTGTTCTAAAGGGAATAATGAAGACAACGAAATGTGAAAAGTGGCCAGTTTAGTGTTTTGCCCAGTGTTTTCAATTAAGACAATATATTATAATAGATGGCAAACTAAAGATAAGGGAGTAATTAGAAATGCAAATAATCTACTATGAGAGGGCAAAGGGCAAAGAGGTGAATAGAGACGGGGCAGGGAGTCAAAGTAAGGCTGCCCAGAGGAGATGGGAAATGAATAGGCTTTGAAAGATGAGAGGATTTCAGTGACCAGAAGAGCGGGTTTGGGACATTTCTGTGCTAAGAGGATCATAAGCAAAGCCACAAAGACATAAACAACAGGGTCCACAGAAAGAATTTTAGTGCTGTAGAATTACTTTCCTTGGTAATCTTATGTTTATTATTTTATGCATTCAAAAATGTTACTCTAGGAAGGGATCCACATATTTCACCAGACCGCCAAAGGAATTCATGATACAAAAAGGATCCAGGATCCCTAAATTCAAGGAATAGAGATGTCACAGAGAGACCAGTGCTCATGGAAGGATACAGTAGAGAACAAGCCTCAAACAGTAATTTGGGAACTAAGTTAGGGAGAACTTGACTATTGTGATAAAGAGTTTGAAGTTTATTCTTTAAACAATGGGATGTCACTGAAAGTTTTTGAGAAAGGAAGTATTTTTCCAATGATTTAGGAAGAAAACTCAGGTAGCTATGAAAAAGGTAAGCCCCTGAAACATTGAGTCCTGATAGGCTTTTCCAAAAAGTCAGGTGGGATATGATGAGGCTCCAATTTAGAACAGTGACAGTAGATGTAGATAGGAGGAGCTGAAGCCTAGAGTCATTTACAAAATATAATAGAAAGAACTCAGGGACTGACTAGGTATGGGTACAAACTGAGATAAAGAAAGTAGTAAAAGCTAATTCATGTATTAACAGTCAAAGAATGTTGATGGAGTTCACAAGAACAGCACAGTTAGGAACAGATACTGCTTTTGGACGCCCTCACAGAATAAGGCACTCCATTTTCAAGAGTGGCAACATTTCCAAACTGGATATTCCTTACAAATGCCATACCCACCTTCTCCTTAACAAACAGTAGCTCTGAATCTCTTTATTCAAAATTTTAAACAAGAGGATGGGCTTCAGAACCATGTACACTATTACTGATCATTATTACATACTCTGTTCGTGGAGAAATTTGCTTTGAAAAATGTTTTGCAGGTTTCAATGGCCTATCTTTTGCCTTTTCCTCTGTATGAGAATGGGTTAGAAGCTTAGTATAAATTTATGAAGCCTCCTTGATTATCAATGTTTTTGCAAAACTTGCATTCCAGTTCTGTAAGAACAATTGTGGAGAAGAACAATTTTCTGACAGGCCACACATTTCAAGTGGTATAGGACAGGAAAATATTTCTGGCTCCCCTTCTCTTTATTCATACCCAAATATTCTGTTGGCTTTTAGATGAGATTTATATATTCATCCAACAAATATTTATTGAGTATCTTCTATGTGCCAGGCATAGGAAGACACAAAGTGCATAGAAGTGATCAAAGTAGACGTGGACTTATCCGCAGAGAGCTTCTAGAATGTGACTGCTGTCCTTCACCCAACACCTACTACTTGCCAGACACTTGTGAGGTGCTGGGGATATAGAAGAGATCCAAAGAAACAAAGATCACGGAAGCTTTCTTTTATTAGAGGGAGACAAATAATATATAAGCGTATTATAAAAATTTAGGTAAATTATCTGATCGGTGGTTACCAGGGAAAAGGGGGGGTGGGGGGAGGGCACAGAGGGGGAAGTGGTGTACCCACAACATGACTAACAAAAATGTACAACTGAAATCTCACAAGGTTGTAATCTATCATAACATTAATAAAAAAAAAAATTTAGGTAAATTAATATATAATATACAAGCAAATTATACACCATGTTAGGAAGTGACATGTACCATGGCAAACAATGAAGTAGGATAATGGGAATGAGGATGCTGATGGAAATTATTATGTTAAATATGGTAGTCAGAGAATACCTCTCTAAGCAGATTGAAGGAGATGAGGGAGCATGGGGAGGGTCAAAGGAAGGGAATCAAAGGAAGGAGCATGGCCACTGCAAAGGCCCTGAGGCAGGATTTTGCCTGCTGTATTCTTGGAATTACAAGGACTTCAGTGCGTGTGGAGCCAAGAAAGTCAGAATGAGAGTCAGAGAGGAAATGGGAGCCAGATTGTGCCAAGCCTTTAAAGCCACTGCTAAGGTCTTTGTACGAACTACTATCCTGGACAAAAAAGACAACTGTCATAGTTTATTATAATGAACTAAAAAAGACCTCTATAGATTATGATCCTTGGTATCTAACTCATACCAATAAGATGGGTCAAAATTAATTAGATCAAAAGAGCACAGATTATCTCCAGAATCTACTTGATTCATGTACCTGTATAAAGTATACCAACTCAGTGGCTGTCAGGACTATACTTTTAAACCCAACTTATTCTAGCAGGCAGGCAAGGTGGTATGTTTTTATCGCCCAGCCATCATGGACAGCTTACTCAGAATTTTCTGTGACAAGAACTTTGATGAGATTTTTCTGTGACTATGTGGATGAGATTAATTTATTATATTTCCAGAGAAATATGTTCATGTCTTCCCTGCTCTGTAGCCTGGACCTTCGGGATCTCAACTGAGGATGGATCCAAAACCATTTCCCAAGGGAAACCTTGGTTAGTCTTGCAAGTATGTCTGTAGACCAGCTCAGAAAGCAGTGTGATGCCTTGTTTCAACTTCTCGTCTTTCATAGTGAAATGTCAATGCTGCAATCATTCATTTCATACTGGCAATCAAAGCCCTCATCAAGGAGTGTCTGCTACCCCAAGCAGAGTGGAGAGAAAAATGACATTCAAAGATCATTCACGGCACATACTAACCACTTGTACTACTAAACATTTTAAGTTCTATACACTATAATCAATCATTATAAAAAGGCAAGGTATTTAGCCCCTTGCTGAGCTGTGCTTTAATGCCATTTCTTGAACTTTTCCCAAAGTGTTTTTCTTTCTTTCTTTCTTTTTTTAAGAAATAATGACTCTTAACAACATTTGCATTTTCAGTAAACTTGAAACTGCCTCTTTTGTTATACAAGTGTTTCCTGTGTTGAATTCTTTGTGAAAAATATCTCTTAGAATTTATTATATCAATCTGTATTCTTGAAGGATTAGAATATGATGGAATAAGAACTCTTAAGTCTCAACTGAAAAATAAAAGTAAACATATGCGTAACTAAATTGATACACGAATATATAATATGCATGTAATATATAGCTGAATGTATATTTCATCTGTATAAAGCAAGGAAAGATAATCATCTGATTAATTCATAATTTAAGAGAAATATTTAGAAGATCAAAATGTCCAAGTCTATTAAAAACAGCATCTAATTATTTTAGTATTGTAAGCATATAAAATTTTCAAGTTTCTTTTAAGTAATTTTTTCTTAGAATTTATCAAGATACCAAAAATACATAATATAATATATCCACTATTATTTTTCTTTTACAACAGTGTATAGTAAACTATTATTGAAGTTACATAGGGGGAATACAAAATTATAATTATGAATGTCAACTACCAAAATAAGGTAAGCTGATAGCAGTAAGGTAGGGGGAATTGAAAATATGCCGGTTTAAAAGCTGAGTAACTGTACGCATCTTTGGGAGACTTTGTTTGTCTCCCCATAAACTGTCACATTCTGATTTAGGATTGTTTGTGAAATGAATCTAGCCAGTAATGGGCCAAGATATCACTCTACCCTTTCTCTTATAAATCACAGCAATTTACTCAGTAGGAATGATCTATCCTTATTCTCTCCTTCCCCATAATCCAATCACTTCCTCTCATAAGCACTTTCCCCCTGGTTTTCACAATAATGCATTTTCTGTAACTAACAACCATCATTTCCTGATTATCATGCTTCTATCCTTGCACAGGAATGTGGGTCTTATGTGGGTCAGGGTC